CCCGCCCCAGCCCCTTCCGGGCCTGCAGCTCGGGGTGGTGGTGTGTGCCCCCCCCGGCCCCTCGGGGCTGGGGGACACCCCCCGTGCCTGGGAGGGGGCTGCCCCTCGAGCCCTTGGGAGATTTCGCTCCCGAAGCACACCTTGCTTTGGAAGTGAGGTGATGAAACAAAGGAGCTTATGCACCACCTGGCATCGATCTTCTTGGGTAACGTCCTCAGTGGGGTGGGTGGGTTTTTTCTTTCTCGGGTCTGGAAAATCCTTCCCTGAATGAGTTGAAGTATGGCGAGGACGCGTCTCGTTGGCACCGGTGTCGGCTTTGCTAACCTGTAAAGCTCCTCTGCGAGTAGAGGAGGAAGGTGCCAAATACTAGCATAGAGCTTACAGCCTCCTGCAGAGAGCCAGCCGCTTGTCACCCTCGTGGAAAGCAGAAGTGCAAACCCTGATGCCATTTCAAAACTGCAGCGTCTGGCTTGCCACTCCAACGTGCTGGCAACTCCCCTCCTTCTCCCTCGTTTGCTGTAGTCCTAATTGGCCACTGTCACCTAGAGGCATGGCTGTTGGATGCCACCCTGAATTCTTGGTATGCTGTGAAGGCTGCCATGCCAGGTGTTGGCTTGTAGCCTGTGGCAGCGCTTACTGGGAAGCTTTGAGCTGTCCTTGTTGAGCCATCAATCCTCTATTCAGGAGTCCCAGGTGAACAGTTTGTAGTCCCTTTCTCCCTGGCAGGATGGTGCATTTCTGTCTGGGGCCGCCATTTTGTCTGAGCCTCATAATAGGGTCACTACCCCCTTTCTCCTCCCTTAGAAAGGGACGGGGCTCCCCAGACCTGAGAGACGGCTTGATGTAATCCTCTAGACAAGATTGCATTTGGATGAAGTCTGTCCTGCCTCATAAATCAGTCCTCTCTGGGGAGGGCAATCCTGCGGAGCATTCTGGTGTGGGCATTTAGCACCCATTTTGCTTGCAGCATCCTCTGAAAGGGGTGGGTAGCAGAAGCCGGGGAACCCGATCGCTTTAGGATTTCACTGCCTAAGCATTTAGCACCCTGCAAAATGGGAGCTGAGGGATGTAAAGCATCCCTGGCACGGTTGAGGACTGCGCTCCAGGAATTGGCTTCGCTGCCGCAACTGCTCCATTGCAGAGCCTGCGTGCAAATGTGAGAGCCCTGTCCTCTTGCAAGGCTGCAGTTAGTGCGTGGTCCCCCTGTAGCTAACGTCTCGCTATGCGGATAACTCCTCGCTTCCTCAGAGCTGTCTGAAATAATTCAAAGGCGTTGTGTGCTCTGCTTGGGAAGGCTCGAGTCAAATAGCTTTTTAACTTAATCCAAGTCTGCGGAACAAATGTGCATCTGCTCTGCTTATGACACATGCAGCATATTTAAACTTGTTTAGATGCCACATCTATTACTTCAGAGTTTCCAGATGCCTCTAGATAAAAGCAAGAGGTGGGTAATGATGTGCTGTGGAGCAAGGCCGAGGGCTATAAATCTGACCGGAGGACCAGAAGCCTGTCTGTGATGCCGCAGTCTCGGAGGCAAAATCCACCTCCTGGAGGTGTTTCCCCAATGCATATAGTCAACAGAAAGAGAATGCTCCCAAATGCAGTGATACCTAGGAGCTAGTCATTTTTGGACCGAGACTAGGTGTGTTTAGGGGCAGTGTTGGTGATGGAGTGTGTGGTGCTGTAGCCTTCAGCTTTTTAGCAGCCAGTCTGCACCCTGATCAGACTAACGCCTTCTCTTTCTCTTTGCAGCTTTTCGCAGACAAGGTCCCAAAGACAGCAGGTTGGTAGAGCAGCACAGACTGCGCTGCAGTTGCATTAAACCTCTTTTTATAGTGTCCGAAGCTCTCGTTCGCTAACCTCCAGGCGAACGAGCAATTTGAATTTCCTTTTCTTAATCTGCAGAAAACTTCCGTGCTCTGAGCACTGGTGAGAAAGGATTTGGTTACAAGGGGTCCTGCTTCCACAGAATCATTCCTGGGTTCATGTGCCAGGTAAGTGGCTCCCCCCCTTGTAGTGAGGTTTGTTCCCCTTGCAGGGAGATGGAAATTCAGGCAGTTGCCAGATATTTCGCCTGCCTCTTTCCCAAGTTAGTGGAGTACTAGCAGGTTTGGGAAGATGGCTTTGTCTCCTCCCCTCACCTGCCTTTTAAAGCCTTTTAGTGCAGCTTCTGTAAAGATGCTGGCTTTGACTTACTAGGTTGGGCTTCCTGCAGTGAGGACATGAAATGCCACTTCTTTGCAGGGTGGTGACTTTACACGCCACAATGGAACTGGTGGCAAATCCATTTATGGGGAGAAGTTCCCCGATGAGAACTTCATCCTGAAGCACACAGGCCCTGGCATCTTGTCCATGGCAAATGCTGGCCCCAACACAAATGGATCCCAGTTCTTCATCTGCACTGCCAAGACTGAGTGGTGAGTATGTGAGAGCTGGTGGGGGGACAGGCTCAAGCCTCGCAGGAGCCGGAGGGTTGTTGCAGGGATGCAACCACGAGCTCTGCAGGAGTTGCAGTCCTGCTCAAAGCTCTTTAGCAGGGGTCTCCTGTTGGGGTGGTGGGGAGGCAATTCCTGAGGCTGTGCTGATGTGCTGCAGGGTGGGTGCCAAAGCAGGTTGAGATGCAGCTGGCCACATGTGACCCCATGCTTCTCCTGCAGGTTGGATGGCAAGCATGTTGTCTTCGGCCGTGTCAAGGAAGGGATGAACGTGGTGGAGGCCATGGAGCGCTGTGGATCAAAAGATGGCAAAACAAGCAAGAAGATCACCATTTCCGACTGTGGGCAGCTCTCATAAAAGCAAAATAAAACCTGTTGTCTTAATGACCAACCATTCCTTCTGTAGCCCGGGCTAGCGTGCACCCTGGTGCAACTCGGCCCCTGTAATCCTTGTGCTCCTGACTTACTGCTGCGTTTCTATTGGGTTTCATTCCCCCACATTGACAGTCTAGCAGGACTGCAGAGTTAACGTTTATGAGTAAATAAAATGAGTTAAACCACAACGAAGCTTCCTGGTTTTCTTGTTTCCTCCTCCCTGGAGCAATGTGCAGCCTGGCTGGGAGGTGGGTGGTTAATGGGCCGCAGGAGTCCCATGAAACTGTTGGCCTTGCTGGCCTTTCGGTGAGGCTTTTCCGAGTGCTGGAGTGTGACAGGGTGGTGGCAGGGGCTTGTTTCCATATAAACCCTCTTAGGGCCACTTGTGGATGAATGGGTGAGTGCTGGGATGGCATGAGACACCTTTAAGGGTGGGTGGCTGAGCCAGGAGGGTGGTGTCACCCTTCTGTGGGGCCATCACCCATCTGATGCAGGCTTTTAGGGGGTGGTGAGACCTGTATCTGCAGTCATCCATCTCCTTGCTTCCCCAAAAGCCTTTTTGTTGTGTTATTTTGGCACAGCTGGTTGTGTTAGGCTTGCTCCCTGCAGGTTTTGGGGGTAGCTGGGGAGGGAGAGCTCCATCCCGGCTTTGCTGTTGAGCATGCTGCTTCCTGCCTGGGTGACAGGGCAGGAGAGGCAGGTTGGGGCATGCTGTGCCTCTGCTCATGGGTGCCAATCTCCTGGAGAGGCCCAAGCTGTGGGGTGGGAGACCTGCGGGGGTAGTTTTTGGAGGTGCACACAGCTGTGTCTCTGGTGTTGCTTGAGGCTGCACCCCTGGGTGCTGTCCTGTCTGGCTGCACCCTTGTGCTTAGGGGCATGTCCCTGGGTGCTGCTTGGGGCTGAGCCACCTGTGGCTCTTGGGCAGATGTGGCTCAGAGGAGCTGAGTCATGGCATCCGGGGCTGTTCCTGTGCACTGGCGCTTGCTGTGTCCCCAGCAGGAGGAAGGACATGGCTGTGGTGCTCTGGCAGGATGCAGCCCCTTCCTGGCCAAACTGAGGCCTTCCTGCCTCACCGACGCTGCCAGAGACCCACATGCTCTGTGGGAGCGAGTCCAGGGCGTGGAGAGCAGCTTTGGGCTGTCAGTGGCTCCCCAGCACCTTCTCCTCGCCTCATGCCCACTCCTGCAGCAACCTGGCTGTGTGGCACACCAGGCCCTCAGTAGGGTTCAGAGTGAACGTGCTCCATGTGGCAGCACTGTGGGTGCAGGCTGCCAGCAGGGTCAGGCAGCTGGTCCAGCCGGGGCGTCCCCAGCACGGCACCGATCCCCGGAGGGGATTTGCCAGCAGTGACGTAAGGGGCCCCGGTGTCCGGGGCTGGGTCTCTGGGCCTATTTCAGCTGGGGGGGGGGGACCCTGGCCGCGGCGCTTTCTCACCTTCGGGTGCCTTGCGGGCCTGTGCCACCAGGTGGCATTTGAGATCGCTCATCTGGGCTGTACAGGGAGCCCTGGTGGGGGGGAGGTTTGGGGTCTGGATTTGGGGGGGCCCAGAGATGTCCAGGTACTATGGGAGGCCCAGTTTGGGAGGGGGGGTCTGAGTGGTTCCAGTTTGGGAGGGGTACTGGTTTGTAGTACCCCAGTAGTACCAAGTTTAGGGGGGATCCCAGTGGTCCCAGTTCAGGGGGTGCTGGTTTGGAAGGGAGTCTCAGGGCTCCCAGTTTGAGAAATCCTACAAGGACCCAGTTCAGGGTTGTCCCAGTTTGGAGTAGTCCAGTGTGTGTGTGAGGGGGTGCCAGTGGTCCCAGTTTGGGGTAGTCCTGGGTTTGGGTTGGTCCCAGTCTGCGGGGATCTGAGTTTGGGGAGTCCCACTAGTCCCAGTTTGGGTTAGTCCTGAGTTTGGGAGGTCCCAGTGGCCCCAGTTTGGGGGGTGTCCAGGTTTGGGGGGGATCCGAGTGCTCCCAGTTTGGGCCACTCCCATTCAGGGGGCTCCCAGCACCCCCAGTCTGGGACATCCCAGCACTCCCTGCTCGGGGTGGGGGTGGGGAATCCCCAGTGCTGCTCTCTGTCCGTCCATCTGTCCATCTGCCCATCTAGCTGACTGTCCAGCCGTCTGTCCGTCCATGTGTCTGTCTGTCCATCTGTCTGCCTATCCGGCTGTCTGTCTGTCCATCCATCTGTCTGTCCAATTGCCTGTCCATCCCTCCAGCTGTCTTTCCGTCTGTCTGTATGTTTGTCTGTCCATTCGTCCATCCGTCTGTCCATCCATCTGTCCATCCCTCTGTCTGTCCATCTGTCCACCCGTCCATCCAGCCATCTGTCTGTCCATCCATCCATCTATCCAGCCATCCGTCCATCTGTCCATCTGCCCATCCATCCATCCATCCAGCTGTCTGTCTGTCCATCTAGCCATCTGTCCATCCATCTGTCCATCTGTTTGTCCGTCCAGCCGTCCATCTGTCCATCTGACCGCCTGTCCATCCCTCTGTCCATCTGTCCATCTGTCTGCCCACCCGTCCATCCATCCGTCTGCCCATCCAGTTGTCCGTCCGTCCGACTGCCCACCCGTCCGTCTGTCTGCCCATCCGTCCGCCCGTCCAGCCGTCTATCGTTCCGTCTGTCCGTCCAGCTGTCCGTCCAGCCATCCGTCTGTCCGTCTGTAGTTCCGTCCGCCCGTCCAGCCATCTGTCGTTCCGTCTGTCCATCCAGCTATCCATCCAGCCGTCCGTCTGTCCGTCTGCCCGTCCGTCCACCCGTCCAGCCATCTGTCGTTCCGTCTGTCCGTCCAGCCGTCCGTCCGTCCGTCTGTCCAGCCGTCTGTCGTTCCGTCTG